TGTACGAGCGGCCAAAATGTTTCCATTCAACAAGTAGCTATCGAGGGGAAGAACCGTCAGCGTTAGCCGCAAAGTCTCCGGATGTATCGGTGGCCGGGGCTAAGTAATTGCACCCGAAAGGTCCCGTGCCGCCAAAGAAGTTGTGTCCCCGAAGGAAACAGGCACTCACGGAATTGTCCCGCGCAGAGCGAATGCACCGGGCGCGCCGCCCGCAGAAGCCCATTTGACAAACATTTGTGCCAGTGAACGTGCGCTGTCGCGCTTACCGGCTGCCAGAAGGTGGGGCTCCGCAGCCTCAAACAACCCATCTGTCGTGCAGATTTGGCCTTATTGAAATCGATCGGATCTCGACAGTGGGAGGTACCTTTGTATAGCAATTCTCCAATGTAATGTTGCAAGTCAGGGTCACCCGTAGGACATGGACCATGTCTTGATGACCATCTGCCTTGCGCAATGAACTGACGGACTCGATAAGAGATGGTAACCCATGGTGCTCACGCGATAGCCTTGTCCATAATGGTCTTTCTCCAGGAGCCGGACGAGCCGACCAACGCGAGAAGCTGAGTTATACGACCTAGATACGGAGTCAAAATGAGTGATCGCTCCGCGCATGATGTCGCTCAGGAGTAGGTCATAGCATGCCCTCTTACCCCGGCTCTCTTCATTCACCTCTTCTCCCTGTCTTTCGTAGACATCAAGCAAAAAGACAGCCAGATCTGTCCCACTGCCTTGCTGTCCTGCCTTTAGGAGCTCCCTCGCGGACTGAAACAGTACATCTATTGCTGTGTCGAATTGATTTGACTTGACATATCTCGATGCAAATGTGCGCGCTTTCTGGTGTGCCTCGTAAGCCTGGCCAGCCGTGATGAGAGGAAGGATGGCATTCAGAGCTCTGGAAGACGACACAGTAGATCTGTCTGCTCCCATTTGGACGAGTAAGATGGAAGAGTCGCTTTTTCGCGAGTATTATGTCCTCGAGGGATTAGGTCGTGAGCTTGAGAAAGGCTGTGCCACAACGGTGGCGTACAGATATGGGGCTGCCCCCGGACACTCCCCTATTTGGGACCGGCTCTGCTCATCAAGATCCTCACCCGCTCATACCACGCTGGGATTCTTGCTGATTTTTGGAACACTAGCGGACTGGACGGCCTCTGCAGTGCTCGATATCAAAAAATTGCCGGAGTTACACAAGTGCCGATCCGAGAGGATTTTTTGAGGCATTGCCTGCCGAAGGTTGAAATCTTCAGGTCTCCACTCCGAAGTCAGTTGCTATAATAATGGAGTTGCCTTCATTCTCATCTCCACAGACAGAAGCGGCGGCAAGATATTCCCGATCTGCTCACTGTAGTGCATAGCATGCCGATCTGCACCAGCTGCACACACCCGACGCCGTATCTATACACGGTGTATGAGTCAGCCCATAATCTGCGTCTCGAGCAATGTGTCAGTTTCTCCCAAATACGGGTTATTGTACAACCTTCAACGTGCATCAATGTCGCTGATGCGCCCGCTTGCTTTAGACGGCCTGCCATGCGTTTGCAGACCCGTATGTCGAGCATGACACATTGACGCTTCTCCTGGACTTGATTCTGCTGAAGAGAGATGTTTACCGGCATCTGCTATTCAACCGCGGCCTTGGAGCGCGGAAAGTGGAGCCCGCAGGCAATTCACGCCCGAGTCCAGACGCACATGCTGTACGGCAGAGGGACTTCCCAAGCGGAAGTCGACATTCTGTAGGCGAGCAGACAGCTCTCGCACGCAGGACGGAACAGGTGTGTGACTCTACAGAAATGTCGAATAAGGAGGCAGCGTTGTAACGATACATAATCTGATTGCAATTATAGGCTAGGTGGCTGTTGATCCTGAAACTGGGAACTGCTTTGATCGTCGTTGACGCGTGTATGCATGTTCACATTTCTATTGGACAAGGGCTAACATTTTGGGATATTTCAGTCATTAGGTGGGCCCATTTGAGTATGTTTTTTCTGATAACTAGGCCACATGTATCACGAGGACCTCTGACCGATAAGTCTTAGGCTACCGAATTTCATTTGAGGGTTCGGCGGCTCTTGCGACTGGGGCCCGAAACGTGTTGGACGCGATTTTCAGGGTGTTCGTCGGTTGCCTAGTTGGTATGTCACCGCCCGGGTGACCGCGAGCAAGCACGACTTGACAGCGTGCTGATGTTCTTTGTTGTGAATACAGAGACCGTTGCATTCCATGCCGGTGTCATTTGTACATGCTACATTGTTCTGAAAGGTCTGGAGTGTGCGCAGCTACGCAGGCACCAACACCTCGCGCAAATGTCCGGGATTCGCCAAGAGTTCAGGTTCGCTTGTTCCCAGTAATTTGGGTTCACGACGGGCTGAGCAAGACCGCACTAGATACTCACACCTCCCGCTCACATTGCTGTATTCCTCCATTACGAAGCTGTTCCTCCTTTTACTTCTGTCCATCTGGCACCCCCCGCGGAATTCGCAAGTCGGACCATATACATCGCATCCCATCGCCACCATATTTACCCACCCAATTCTCATGCGCGCATTCGAACTTCTGGATGAGGATAGGGTCGACCGTGAATGGATTATCCGCAATGTCCTCGGAGGTATGGCGGCGGGATTTGGGCTACGAGGTAAGTGACGTGTGTACCAGCTCGAAGCGGCAGAATATTTCCTCAGTGCGGGCTGACGAACTCATGCACTCACGCGATAACGAATGACGCAGTTGTTCTCGACTGTCACCCAGTTTTCACGACGACAATAATTCTTGCCGGGTGGGCGATGAAGACGGCGGTTGCGGGCCTATTTGCGGAGTGGATTGGCATAGTGCTCCCGCAGGATGACGGTGCGACGGGACAAATATGGCTGGCGTATAGTATCCCGTGACGGCGTGTCGAGCGACCTCGTTGTATCTCCTAGTCCTTTGCTGTTCCCCCGTGCGGCCGCTGCAATCCCGCTGTCAATACACTGGCATGTTTCGCATGCTGTCTCATCCACAGACTCTCATGCCGTGAGCCGATGTACCTGCGCCGTTTGGGACCGTCGAAGGCGCAGTTCTTCTTCTTCTTCTTCTTCTAATCCTCATTTATTGTCCTGGAGGGCGTAGCCCTATGACAGACAATACCTACAGTATCTACTAAGTTGGGTAAAAGCGCTGCTCGGAAGTGCAATAGGTGACGGCGCAGTTAATTATTGGACATGCCTCATGCAGAGGGGCATGAAAGCGGTGATTAGCAAGCCCTTCAGCCGTACGTCCTATGAATAACATTGCTTTGATGCATGCACTGTCAGACTGCCTGGCTTCTTCACTAATCAGGGCTCGCCTGGCTTCCCCTCATACGTCCCGTCGGACTCAAATGTGCGCTCGCCCAGGCAGTCAACGATATCGATGCAGATGTTTATATCATTATCCACGAAAGTATGTACAACATTCCGAGCACGAGAAGTAACAGGGAGAGGAAGCGGGAGGGGGGGGGGCCATCAGAGGATGAAGGGGATGATAGCTTTCCGGCCTCGAGGGTACTCCTTGCCGAACTCTTTCTTGTAATTCCGGTGTTTCTTCAGCGCCCATACGGCCATCTGGTATGTCGATAATGCGACAAAGAGCCAAGCTACAGAAATGTCAGGTTAGCGGGTCAAACTATAGGAGTAGAGAGGGCACAAAGACTAACCGACATAGCTACCGGTCATCGCGGCGATGGCGACCCAGGCAAGGATCTCGAAAAAGTAGTTGGGGCACGAGACGAGAGCGAAGCCATAGCCATATGGAATGGCACGTTTCTTGGTGCCGACCGGTCGGAGCTCCCGCAGTGTCCAGTGTGTGATGCCGTTGGAAACCTCGGCGAACTGCACAGGTTCAGCGCACAAGCCAGAAGCGACCAGATCAGCGACGTACCAGCCACAAGGCGCTGCACGCTAGTAAGAAGCTGGGGTTACTGCGCGCCGATCCGAGGAGGTACAGTGATTTGGCGGAATATGTCGGGCTGTACAGCGCGTAGGCGAGGAAGAGGCCGCTGAACAAGTGGTAATGGGCGGAACTGAAGGAGAGCAGGTCAGTACATGGGCGCGGGCGTCCTTTGAATTGTAGAAGTGGATACCTACTTCTTGAAGATGTTGCGGAGCGGCATTGTGCCGTGTGAGAAACGGTGCACGTAAACCGTCTCCCACTCCCTTTTCACGAAGTGGAGCATAACGAGCGCGTATACATATCTGTATTACGTAGGGCAGACACATGAGCTGGCCACTGAATACCACGTCCGAGGGCACCGCACTTTTGTAACAGGCTATGCTTCACGGGCCCGCCGTAGAAGATCTCCGGGAAGTGGTAAATCAGCGGGTGAATAACCAAAGGCCCAGCCTGGAATAATGGGTGCCATGTGAGTGTTTTCAACCGGTAGATATCGCGAGACTCACGTATTCAACCAGGAACACAGTCCGCCAGCTGATCTGCGGACCAAGGTCCTTGACAGTGAGTTCGCCGCCGTCCGCAACTCCAGCATCTTTCAGCGTCGTCTCGTCATTCATAGCCTTCTTGTCTCCTTTAAGTGCGATCTTCTGGCGCGTCGTATAGAACTGAGAGCAAGGGTCAATTGCTGCAGCTCACGCTACGAATCCGCTCACTTTCGGGTACTTGGCCGCGATGGCTGCCTTTACGTCGGCGATGGTAGCGTCCTCCGGTGTCTTGCCATCAATAGATACAATGGCTGGGAGATCCCGCGCAAATGGGATGCGCCCCGCTGCAGAGACAGTCACGGCCACCATGGTTGACTTGTGCGAGGAGTGGAGGCGTTAGCCGAGGTCGCGGTCCAACGCGCGCCCGATTCGGCGCCCCAGCGCGTCGCGCTCGGGGCCATCTTGCTCCCGCCGCAAGGCGCGCACAGTATATGCCAATCATTTGAAAACTCAGGCATGGACCCGTGGCACACTTACAATTTGTGCGTCTGTTCGCTGTGTGACTGGCTCTCGCCCCGCGCTGCTGGTCAGAAAACCGCGCAAAAAGACTGAGCCCGACCCGGATTGAACGGATGACCTTGAGGAAACACCTAGTCTGGAATCTCACGCTCTACCGCTGAGCTACGGGCCCACAGCAGGAGCGCCTGTAGAACACAGTTAGAGCACAGTGCATCGTTTCGCTTGGAGCGAATCGCGTTCGCGCGCCCGTCCGCCGTCCGCCGTCGCGTTGCCCCGCTTGCCCGTCCCGCCATACCCGCCGAGGCCGCAAACCAGACTGGCCTGCTCCTCCTCGGGTACCAGGCGAGCGACACGTACGTTGCTTCTGCCCGCAGACCTGTCTTGGTCCAATTATCAATATCATCATGTCCGCCAGGGGTCCCGGCTCCGACAGAGATCCCCCCGGCTCCAATCTCAGCTCTGACAGAAGTCTGAGATGGGTCGTTGCCGGTCTTCAATACGCAGAAATGTCTCTCGAAGACTTTCAGCCCGAGCCTACTGATCCAGCTCTCGGGGCTCGTCTACTCTACGCCAAAGCTCGCAAGAGCCTCAGTTCGATTTACCGTCTAGCACTGGAGCGCGGTATCATCAGCTTGCCAACACGACCTCAAAGCAGCCTTTCTGAACCAGACGCCCCGGACGGATTCGCCACTTTGTTCCTAGAGGCTGATCGCAATGTCTCTGAACCAATGGACATCGACAAGCTAGCTCCCACCAGCCCAGCACCTCCGTCAGAGTCACTGGATTTACTTGTTGCTACGACCCCAGCTCCCGAAGCGTCCTCCCCCGCCGCTCAGTTGCGCCCTTCCGTTGGTAACTTCCGTTTGATGCTGGTGCCCCCTGATACTTTGGAGCATATAGTCCACATCATCGAATGTGGCAGAGTCGCCAGCTGTGGGACGCAGTATCACCATCGCTGAGAGCGCCGAGGAGATGGGCTCGGTCACGGCTGGAGAACGTGTCCGGTTGCTATTCACCAGCCCGTCTACGCGGGGACGCGTGCAAGCAGAGGACGACGCATGATACGTTTAATACGTAACTATCAAACAGCTTCGAGGGAGGACTTGGTGAGTGCTCCTTGCTCTAGGCCGCGCATACAACCACCTTATACTCGCCTAGGCGCGGCTCATGGGATCGTACACGAACGAGCGTCACACCCTGGACCACATGTTTGCTCGTTCCTGGCACAACGACGAGATTGAGGACTCGCATGATCGAATTCAGGCTCGCCACAAGGCAAGACCACCAGCTCAATTAGCCCTTTGTCATCTCAGTGATTTCCAGGCTGTGGGCGACATGCTCACTGCGTCCCGCGGTAACCGTATCGTCGTGATCGTTCTATCCCAAATAGAGACTATCAAGTTCGCCAGGGACTGGACGAGGCAGACGGGCAAGAAGGGTGGCAAGAAATGGGCGAGTCAGTTCTACAAACGTGCATTCCAGGAGGATTCAGCATACGCTCCTCAATTTGCCAACCTCTCGCATCACGCGCGGGACCAGCTATTCGAGACATTGGCACCCGAATTCAAGCGGTGGAAAACTGTTGTTCGGCGTGCAGTCACAGCCCGTAGTCGCCTCGAGAATCTATTCACCTTGGTTTGGCTATGATTTTGGTTTTTGTGTGACTTTTCTTACTCATCTTGGTGGAACACAGTTCGGGACAGCCGTACTCTTGGATCCGTTCTGGAATGCTGCCACTTCAGCTTCCCACTCGCAAACATTCATCAAAACCTTAGGTCTCGTTTGTTCAATCACCGATCACCTGCTAAACTACGGCGACCAAAGACATCCACGTCAACAGTCTACCGACACATTGTTGAATCTCGTGTACGTCCTCGGCGGAGAACCCAGTCATTGGTTCGTGCACGATTTTCTTTAGTGTCAGTGGTGGCGTGGCGTGCTCGCCGTTCAGCATGTGTATTTGTTCAAGTTCGCGTGTGTCCTCTGTCATGTCGATGATGTCGCCATTGAATCGTGTTTGCCTGTGTTTCTGTATCCTCTGCAGATTGTCGCGCTCTGTTTTCCGCTGTCGTGTGTACGTATGTCTAGGTCCACATGGCAATCAACGTTTATGTCTGGACGCCGTCAACTGGTGCTCTCACCTTGGGCTGACGCTGGCGTGCAAACCGCCTTGCGTGCTTGAAATCAACCTCAATGCTGGCACATGAACGGGCTTCCCGCATGCATATATACTCGCAATCGCTTTTCTAAATGACCCTGCAGGCACCGTATTCAGGTGGGCTCCCAACACGGACAGGGAGTTCCTTAAGGCTATCCGTTCAATCCGGGTCGGGTTCAACGTTTTGCTCCCGACTCTAACGCCTTAATGCCATTCTGGAAGGTCCGATTGAGCTCGTCGACATCAACGGGGCGCTGTCTGGAACTCTGGTCAGAGGTCATTATCACATTGCTCGACCATGTCAGTATCATCCTGTTACCAGCACCGGCTCCGGATACAAATGCCATCGCGAACTGGGCAGGGTGAGTCAGAGAATAGATGCCCTTAAGTTCATTGGCGATATCTCTACAGTACTGCTCAACGCCCGCCGAGTAGCATGTGAGGTGGGTATATGTGTCGATAATCCTCTACATTGGGCTCGATATGCTTTCAAGTGCTCGCAGAGCTGATTCTCAGGATTATGCTCGTGATCCAAGATGCCCACAAAGCCCCAAATGGCTTCTGAACACTCAAATCCGGATTGGTTGAGGTCGTGTACGAATGGGTGAAAGGTATGGCGAGACCATTGATTGTGTTCAAGTCGAGCTCAACTGAATGTCGTCAATTACAGCCTTCCGAACAGATCACCGAGCTAACGGACGTCGCAAAGAAACGACTGTCCGGGGTGTTACGTGCCTGATGAGACATGTCTTGCTTGCTTAGAGTGCGATCCTCAGCTTGAGCTACACGAGTACGTACATATCGTGATATTCCTCAGTAGCGTCCAGTTCAACCAAAGAAATGGGCAAAGCCACGTATTCCCTCACATATTCTCGGCATGAGAGTCCCGAAAAGCCGTACATATACTGGGATATTTAGGCAAGGCTGATGTCCTTTATTGTTTCAACATGCGTTCACTTGTGATTCATCCCGGTCTCCACACCCGTACCTTCCTTGAATTGAGTTTCGAGTTTCGAGTTGGCCAGATTGGCAGCATTTGAATATTCGCTAACTGAGGGGCCAATGCAGAAGTCCCGTTCGTCCCATGTTGCGACCCAGTCCTGGAGAGTGAATTTCAAGGAGGCAAAGGAACACAGGCAACAGCGCCCCGGCTCATGTTCCTCCAAGATCATGATCTTAATATTTTTGTCCGGCAAGGGTGTCGCCCCCGGGTAGTATTCATCAAACCATCCTAGAAATACCGCGAAAGCCCGAGATTCTTCGCCCTTCAACTCTCTCAAGTAAATCTCCCATTCCGTCTCGTCTGCCGCAATCGCGTGAATACTTCTAGCGTATCCAGCATTCGTTTCGTGGGCAGTGCGAGGCTGTTCTTGTCCTCCAGCCACTCGTCTGGCGTGGGCATAGCGACTACGGAAGAAGAATTGCCCGGAATCGTCCATGCTTCCTCCTGGTAGCTTGGACTGTAGACATTTCGGCCCGGCACTAGGATACTCGATCTCCATGATGTCCGCCACCTCTCTCAATCCTTTGTGTGTCCGTACCAGAGCCTTCCCTGCGACGCTCGTCTGCGGAAAGTCTGGAAAGACTGGCAGCTCCGGCGAAGGCGGAATGCGGAATGCTATACCAAGCCAACTTGCAGAACCTCCTCCTTGCAAAATGGCTTTGGCGAGGGCTATGGTCGCGCCTACCCTGTCATTATCGTTGTACCCACGGGGATCGAGATCTACGCCGAACAAACCCATAATGCTGAACACCATGTCTACTGGCCGTGAAGATGTGCGCATGAGAGCGCAACGCCATATTGCGTGGGATTTTGCTTCATCGTCGAAATCGCCATTCATAGCTGCAGCAAATGCGAATATGTTGGGCGTACGGGCACCGAAAATAGCGCCCTTGAGCTTTCTAGTTTTGGAGTACTCGGCAGTCAAATCCCATTCGGTCGGTGTAGTGAAGAAGAGAAATCCGACAGCGCAAGCGTCGATGATGATTTGCAATTCGGTGACCGCAGATACCCCCGGAATGACAGGTGTCACAGCTCCTGCTGCCGGTAGCCCATATTCACCGCCGGTAGAAAGTCGACCTGGACCCAATGTCCAAGTGAACAGAACCACCACGTTTTTCGGAGCCATGGCCTCCTGCAATGTCCATCCTCGATGTATCCAATCGGTCTCCTCGGATAGGGACACCAAACGACAGAGTCCGTCAGGAAGGACGATGCAGCGTGTGCATGACTTGTAGATGCGAAACATCTGTCGGATCTGCCATATCTTGTCTGCCTTGGACGTCTGGATGATGCATAGCCTGTCGAGCCAGATATATCGGACTCTCTGCTGTACAGAGGCTGCACAGGCGTGGCGAAGAACATCGATGGTGATCGGATCGGCCCCTTCTGCCCCTGCGACTGTGAAGACCTTGCGGCGATGTCTATTTAGATCTGGCCGTCCTCGCCAGACGTACGATATGGCCGTGTACTCGACATTGGGGAATTCAGAAAACTCGTCGATACGCAGATTCTCGTGCTCTACGAACTGGATACAATCGACCAGACGATATCGGCAAAGTGTGGCAGACGGGGATATGTCGACTTTGGCACCTTGCAATTGGTCCAATGATAAGTCGTAAATGGTTGTCATTGTGTGAGTGGTCAGTGTCCTACTCTCCAAGACCACTGATGTCTTAACTGCGCACATCGTGTTAGACGTGCTGCGCAAGCTATTTCAGTCAAGAAGCATGCCTCATGGACGTTTGAGCGCTCACTCTATCAGGGATCTCGCGCAGCCGCTTGGGAGCTATACGTCTGAACACACCGATCGCCCGAGTGAGGCCGTTCCTCGTTCAAAGTTATTGAGAATCATTAGATCTTGGCCCGACATATAGCTATTGGACCCCGCGCACCGTTTCAGGCTCGCATGACCGCGCGATCGTTCTGTCACACAGCTATGACCTTGTTCAGAAAAAGCTGATCACTTAGTTCTCTTGTTACCCCTGCATATCATTGCGCATTAACCCCTCAT